GACACGACACGGTCAGGCTCGAGGGCACTATGCTCATCAAATGAGCCAGTCACAAAGGGACAGATCCTGCCTGATGCCACTCACACAAGGTGCTTAGAGCCCCCAAAATCACAGAGGCAGGCGGAGGGCGCCAGGGGCTGGGAGGGCAGGGATGGGGTTAGAGCGTAGCAGGCAGAGCCTCGGGTTTGCAAGGTGAAGGGTCTGGGACGGAGGGTGGTGGCTGCAGGGCTCCGTGGGCAAGGTCAGCACCTGCGGAGCTGAGCACCTAAGAACGGTCAAGGTGCAAACCAACCAACAAACCAACACCTCGCAGCCTGGTTCTTACCGAGATTCAGCCAATTTTCTCGATGACAACAAAACCCGGGAACCTCTCCAAAGACACTCCAATTTCCAGGGCGCTGGAAAGGCCTCTGCTGGCCGTTTTTGCCCGTTTTCTCACTGCTTTTTACAAAGGAGAGCGTTTTCAGGGTCCTTTCTCTGCCATCTTTGCGGAGATCCTGCCACCTTAATCTGGATGAAGACACCATGGTAACTGCCACCCCCGGGCGCGGAGGCTGTGCTGCGGGAGGCGGGAGCCACGTTCTCAGCCGGAGGGAGGGAAGCGCGCCTCCTCCCAGAGCAGCAGGTCAGCAGCCCCCCCCCCCCCCCCCCCCGGCCTGCAGCGTCACTGGAAGCTCCTGGCCTCCAGGAACTCAGGCTTGGTCGCCAGGGGTCTGGTTTGCAGGGGGACCCTTGGACAAGACCCCCCCACTGGGCTTTGGTGCCACGAGAGGGAAGGGCAAGCAGGGGGCTGCGGGTGTGGGGCCCAGCTGGCGAGCACCCGCCCCTTCCAGGGCCTTCCGCAAAGCTCAACCCAGGGCCCAGGATTCCCAGACGGATTCAGGCTGCACATACGGGAGGGAGGTGCTCGGAGAAATCTGGATCCAGAAGGGAGCCCAGTGGGAGGAGGGAGGCAGGTGGGCTCAGGCTCCCAGGCAGGTGGGGCGGGGGCAGGGCGGTAGCGCTGGGAGTCACCCCTGGGGGCTCAGGGACAGCCTTCCTCACTGCTCTGTGAGCGGCCTCGGGGCAAGTCCTCCTCCCGCTTGCCTTCCTCACACTGTCTCTGCAGGAGCCCCGAGTAACAGCAAAGCCAGGACGTGATGGGGATTCAGGGCTCCACTGCGCCAGGAAGCCCGGAGGTGTTCCCTGGGCCTTACCCACAGCGACGAGTTCTTTAGGAAGTGGGAGCTGCCAGTGCAAAGGCCCTGGGGCGGACCAAGCTGGGAGTGTCCCGCAAGGTGGGGAGAACCCAGGACTGCTGCGCTGTTGGTGGAATATTCAGCCGTTGGGGACCAAGGCGGCCATTGGAAAGGGTGTGTGTTCAGAGTCTGTGGTGTCTGGCAGGCGCAAGGCCCTTGGTAACTGTCTGGTGAGTGGGCAAAGGAGCAAACAAATGTGCGCCTGTGTGACTGGCAGGATCCCCCTGGGGAGCCAGACACCAGCGCCTGGTCTGCGTGCTGGGGTGGAGACAGCCTGTCCCCGGGTGGGGTTCCGGGCGGCCGGGGCCACGCCTGGAGAGGCCCTGAAAGAGCCCTTGTTGCCTCAGGCCTCGAGGGCCCCTCAGCCAGAATCCAGACGGAAAGGTGAGCAAGGCCTCGTCCCATCCATCGGGGCGTCCGGGGCCACAGGGGACAGAGGAGGAGGGCACTGAGCTGCCCAGCCCTCCCGTGCCGGCCAGGCCGCGAACACAGACTTCTGGAAACCCCACACAGCCCTCAAGGGCCAGTGTGAGGTGCACGGCCCCCCGCCCCCCAGCCGCAAAGGGCTTCCCAGCCGCCCAAGGTCCGCCCTCGGCAGGGAGGTCGGGCCCACGGACTGTCCGTGCTCTACTCTGTACGACTCTGAGCTACAACAGGCACCTGAGGCAGGGGGTCGGGGATAAGGGGCACCTGCTGCGGCCATTTAGAGCGGAGGCCAGGCCGACCTGGGCACTCCGCCCGCCGCAGGGGCAGGTGAGGGCGTGACGAGAGGAGAGCACAGGAGGTGCAGGCCCGGAGGGGTTGAGGGGTGAAGACAGGGAGGGGAGGGGTGCAGACAGGGAGGGGGAGGGGTGCAGACAGGCAGGGGAGGGGTGCAGACAGGGAGGGGGAGGGGTGCAGACAGGGAGGGGAGGGGTGAAGACAGGCAGGGGAGGGGTGCAGACAGGGAGGGGGAGGGGTGCAGACAGGCAGGGGAGGGGTGCAGACAGGG